CATGAACCAAAATGGAAGAAGCGGGTAAAAGATAATGGATGGATGAATTTAAAACACCTTTAAATATATATATATATATATATATATATATATATATTTAAAGGCGTTTTAAATCCTTCCCACACTTACAGTATTCTAAACAATGTTTCTAAACAATGTTTCTAAACACTAAAAGAGCACAGAATGCCATGATTTCAGCTCGCTGCCTCCGATGCCCTCAACCACCTGCAAGAGGTCTCGGACACGCCCACTTTTCTGCTCTGCATGGGGAACAGCTGATCAGCTGCATCAGGAAGTATGCAGTATGGGCTGCAAAAAAGTTCAGGAGGAAACTTTCGGTAGCTCTGGGCTGCACAAATGTGCAACAGGTGCTAAATAATTTAAAATAATTTATTTTAAATAAAAATTCAATGCCGATTGTGCAGCTCATCCATCAATCAGCCAATTGTGTGTCATGTCCAATCTTATTTTGAAAAACCACGATAGAGGGAATCCACCATAAATGAACCGCGAAGTAGCGAGGGACTACTGCATATTGGATTTATGTGTGAAACAGATGAACAAGACTGAGAAGTAGCCAAACTAATAAATAAAAATAAAAAAAATGAAACCGTGTTTCTGAAGCAGCACTGGTTATTTTAACAAAAACCACTAAAACGTCTTGTTGTGCTGGAGGTGACGCTACATTCAAAGGCTCAAAATATTTGAGCTAAAATATAACAGAAGTCTGTGGAAGCCTGGGCGTGCACTCTCTGCATTCTAAGGGGATTTGGGAGAAAACCGCAAGTCCTATAGCAGTGAGGGAGACCTGGTAAAAGAAGACAAAAAAGCCTGTTATGATGCATCATTTGGACATGTACCAAAAAGTAATGTGGGAGTATGAAGAGTTTATTGGCTAAAGAACAGAATATTTTACATGATCTGAGTGTGAAGCATCATCAGTTAAACATTCTGTGGAGAAAAATAAAACCTGTAAAAATCATAAAACGGAAAAAAAGTAAAATATATATGCAGTCACATAAAGTCCAACTTTCTGTTAATTTATAATTTAAATTTTTTCCTACAGTAATATATGTCTGAGCTGTAGTACTCCAGAGAGGGCTGGGTTTTCTCAAGTTTTAATAAATACCATTGATATCCTTTTTTTGTGGATTTTGTCAAAAGTAAAAGTCATATCATACTATTTCTGACCCAAAAACTTGTTTTGGGGGTTTAATTATCATGCTTTATAATAAAGGTGTGAGGTGAGACACAAATTTTGAACGGATCAGTAAAAAGGCCGCTTCAGTGCATTTGTCCCATTCATCAAAATAAATTCCCCACACCAAAACATTTATTTTTAGATAATTTAACCAACAGTATGTTTTGTAAAGAATTGTAAAAGCAAGATGCTGATTTTTGCAGAGAGCTTTTGTAAAACATTTAAGTAGCATCGTTAGCTGGAGGTTTTATATAGTTAATTTAACAATTTGCTGCTTCTATTTGTACTGTCACACTTTTTAATGCATGGTTTCATATTTGAAACAGATTGCTGGTAATAACTTTTATGCACTATGTTCATTGAAATCTAACAACTCCCACTTCCGTTTTTTTTTACCCTTTATAGTGATCAGTATGGTTAATGCCCCCTCCTAAATAAGCTTTGATCTCGTTAGCGCAACACAAAGCCTCTTTACTGCCAACGATAGGACAAATCGGCTCTACGAATCAGTGAGAGCGCCGTACAGAGAGTAAGAGAGAGTTAGAAACTGTACTCCTGCTACATCAGAGTGGAGCACAGCACTGCCTCAAGGGTAAACATCAATACAGCCAAAGCAAAAATGGAAAAAAAAATGAGACGAGATGTGAAGGATATGAGGGGGGTAAAAACGAACGTGAGAGGAAATTATGAGAGCGTACTGAAAGAGATGCACAGATTCAGGAGATGAACTGAGAAATAATTAAAAAATGACAGGAGGAGGGGGAGATGGAATAGATGAGAGAAAAGTATGGAAGAGGGGGAGGGTTTGGGGTGTTCATTGGTACACTGAAAGCCTGCGAACCAGGAGTCAATTAGCAATCTGGAAATATGCCTGAGGGGGTGTGGAGGGTAGGAGGGGGACAAATCAGAGGACATGCAAGAGGGTGGAATGGGGATGAAAGTGTGCATGGGAGGGGGTGGGGGGGAGCTCTGCTGCAGTTTGCATGAGGCAAAGCGGGGGGAGGAGAGGCAGGACGCACAAAGAGAGGATGCTCCATCCTCATATTTTATTACGGTGCTGATTTCCAGGCAGACTGGAAGGTCAGCGTTCCTCTGGCTCTCAGCGGGAGGCCTGCACTAATTGTTAGGGGGCGCTCGGTTCTGGTAGCCGCCCCAGAACTCATCTTCTCCTGCAATGAGTGCCTGAATTGCTGATGTAACCCCCTCAATGTCGCTTTCTTTTTTTATTTATTCTCCATAAAGTGTTATTGAACTACTCATCTTTATTCAGATGCTCCTGCTCATCTCCCCAACGACCGAGGCTGTTCCAGTCATCCATCACTTTCCGCTCATCCTCTTATCCAGATCCCTGGTGGGTGCAAGCTAATGGCTCCGGGTTTCTTTCCATCCACTGCCTCTATCCTTTATTTTGCACCCCCCCAAACAACATCACATCTCTTTCCTGTAGTCTACGTGCATATCACATTCATTTCAGAATCACTCTCTGCCTGTTTAATCTTCTCAGTCTGTATCTATTGATCATTTTCTCACTCGTCTTCCATTTATCATTCTGTTTTTTTTTTTATGATCCTGTTGTGCCCACTCCCCTCCACGTTTAGCAATCAATAGACAGCCTAAACTCTACCCATGACATGCCGCTCACTGTCATATAATCTTTACAGACAGGGTATAACCTCTCCCCTTCACTGGCATCCATCCTCTTGTAAACTCACTGATCATTACTGTTTATTTCAGATGCCAGTATTTACCAACTCCTTTGGATTCAATTACACACAGCTGACCTCAAGCCCTGTTCGGCTGTCGTTTCCCTGCACAAAAACACCAAACATCAGCTAAAACGTTCCCTCCAACTACTGGATAAGATCAAGCCATGTGTAGGTGGAAAACAAAACTACATGTGGTGCGGCGTGTTTGCGAGCTCGGAGACGGGAATGAACGGCAACAGATCCAGCAGGGAGAACAAGCAGGAGAGGCGCTTATCCTCTGGTTTACTGTAATACAGTAATTAGTCCAGAGAGGCCGGACGGGCTGCAGATGCTTTGCTGCCTCAGCCATGAAAGCAGGGGAAGACCGGTGTTTAGAAGGGCCCCCCCAGCACCCTTTGCTCCTTCAGCCTCCAGCAAAAAAGACCCTGGTTCTTTGTCTTTCACTGTGCTGACCCCTCCCCCCATCCATGTCTGCCTTTCTCTTTTAACACCTAGAAACAGTGAAGAGGGGGGAATGGAGCGATTAATGGCACACGTGTCAGGATTTGGGATGAGTCACTAATAAATGACCTTTATGGGTAAATATTTGCATTTAATATCTTGCAACATGTGATGAAAAGCAGTGGATTGACGTGATGAATGGCTCTGATCTTTGCTGTGCTGCTGCCTGTCATAGGAATGGAGCCTGGATCATGTTACCTTTGTCTGGGGCTGCTCCTTCACTGAGCACAGGCCTCGCATGTAAATTATCAATCACGCCTCGGATTATGAGGCTTCATTTCTTTATTACAAAGATGACACGGTGGCAGAGAGAAATGGGAGGCCTGGTCAGAACATCACTGGTGATGCTCAGGGAACAATGTTTTACAGTAAGAAGAGAGAGAGGCTTCTGTTGTGGTGCCAACAAAACCGTGAGGGATTATTTGTGTTTCCATTACCTGTCCGATGTCACCAACCACGCTCCCGGTCCCGTCTATCCGTGGTCTTTTGCATTCCGCCCCGGCCAGGTCAGCCAGGGCAGCGGCGGTCTGGGCGTCGGGCTCCGGGTCTCCGCGCTTCATCCCCCGGACAACCGCTGGCCCCGCGGCCGCTGGATCAATGTCCCTCTCGTGGTCCATTATTCCCCGATTAACGGGAAGCATTATAGATGCAACGTCGGTCGACATTAACATCGGACGACAGTCAGTCACCAACAACAAAAAAAAAAAAAAGGAAAGTCTGCTCCTCTTGTTCTGAATCGGCTCACAGTCAAAACAACAGCTCGTGCACAAATACTGAACAGATTTTCATCTAGATTGAAAAAGCTCGCACTGTTTATTGTCTTAACTTAGCTTAGGCAAGCCAGACCATTGTGACCATTTATTACTAGGTCTTGGAAAAGGCAAGAAAAAAGACAGCCTTTTTCTTTAAAAAAAAAAAAAAAAAAAACGTGAAAAATGACGCCGAACACTCGACCCGTTTTCATAAAAGATCAAACGTCCGACTCCCGAAAGCCCCACAAGCTAATTAGCTAGCTAACATTAGCCTGCTCGCTAGCATTACATTCCGCTAGCTCTCCTTCTAAATGTGGCTCCGAGGAGAGCACGCTCCCGCTGCCACGGATAGAAAATGTTGGAAATTAGCTGAATGTAACGCTTCTCCTTGTGCGCGGCGGGTCACTCCTGGCTGCTCGCTCCTCGGTTTCTGTGTTAAAACTCCTCCGTGGACGTGTTTCCCTCCTAGCAGTGCCCTGCCGTCCTCTTGTCCGCTCCCTCGCTCGTCTGCTGTGGATGAGTCTTGGCGTGCGGACCTGGACGAACACGATTTCCTCAAGTGAGGACCGAGGACTCGGCGCGCTGATCCACGGTCAGATTTCTCTGCGTAGAGAGGGCGGTAAGGTGAGCAGAACTGATCTGAGGTCTGCGTTTCCTTCAGGTCTCCTTCTCCTGCTTTTTTCCTCAACCCCCCACTCCCACAGCTCACCGCCGCCTCCTCATCTCCCTCCTCCTCCATTCTTAGCTGTAGTTTTATTTTTTTATTTTTTTTTTCCGGATGAAACAAAACAAATATGGTTGCTTTAATTATAATTATTTAAACCTACACTTTACTTGTTGTCTAACTTTTCAAATGGGTGTTAATTTCTTACACAGAGGTACGTCAGTTTTCATGTATGATGTTTACGGAACAAAATAAATAAATAAATCAGTATTATTTGCAAAAAGTGTTTTTATTTTAATAAGTTTCATTTATACCAAAAAGACTAAATTTTCTAATGATGACATTTTTTTGTATTTTCTGTATTTTTATCTTTTTATATATTATGTTTTTCAAATAAAACCAATCAATATTCGGAAATATGAAATATGGAAACAAAGTGTTTTATATGGTCTCTAGCTCCTGATGTTTTAATTTTTAAGGGGATAAATATGGTGCAGTCACGGTTTTACTTTGATCCTCTAGCGCCCTCTGGTGGATATTAAAAAAACAGCAGTTGATGAATTTAAAGGGTCTCCTTTGGCACAAATGAGCATTACAGTATAAGACCCTACTTTATTTTTGTTCATTCCCCAATTTGTTGGGTGTGTTTTTGAATTTCAGTGGATCCTCCCGAATCAGTCCAGTGACTGAAACCGTTTGATGTAAGGAGTCAAAGACGCTGTACAGACTACACGTGTGAGTGAAGATCTTCTTTGTTTAGCCCCCGAGTTAAAATATAAAAATCGTACAGATTACAAATTCTCTGTAATGATCAGATCATCTTTTGGCTTGTTGCTAGACTTTAGAGACACATTCATGTTAGTGAATATCAATGTCTTTGATTGTTTCAGTCACTAGACACCATGACTCAAGGTAGGTCCAGACAAAGATGATCAGCGTACTTTAAAAATGTAGTATATTCTGAAGTGGTCTTTGTGAAAAGTTTGAAAATTGCTGCACTGGAATGTGACTGATGAGAGGTGCAGGTAATAAATTAAGCAAGAAGATAAGTGTACTGGGGACATCTATACTCGATAACAAGGGCTGCAGGAACAGAAGCTGATCAATACAGCAACTCAGCTCACAGTAAAGTACAAAACACCTGAGACTCAGACTATGACAGTGATCAAATGCTTAAAAAGACAATACAGCAGCTGTACAGGCTTTGTCTCCTAAATCATCCAATAAAAAATAATCAAATTCATAATAACAGAAGGCACAAATGATCTGGACCTCTCTAGGGTTGAATATTGGACCTTAAGGTAACTATGAGCCTAAAGGTACATTTATGTTTTCAGGTAGTAAACATTACACGTACACTGATTATTTTAAATATCAGGGTACAATGTCAGGGGACTGTTGCTGTTTGAAAGAGAAAAGTCAAATTAGTGATCTAACAGTTTTTCTTGAAAGTATATATTACCATATTATTTTAAAACAAAATTTGAGTCAACGTGTCGACTGAATTTGACTGATATTTAAATTAAGCAATATCTGTTATTTATGTATCATTTGTTTTTGGAATGTAGGATCAGTGGTTTAAATCACATTCAGGGATAAGTTTGATAAGTGAAACATTTAAATGACGCCATGCTGGCTCAGATTATCAAGGTCTGTGTCAGAGGAAACAGAACATTCTGATGAGAAATGGACAACTGCAGCTCTTCCTGCTCAAGACGTTTTGTACCCTTTAAGGACCTTATTTGTACTGGTTATTTGTACTGGTGTCTACAGAACCAAGCCAAAACCAAAGGGATGCTTTTTTTCAAACAGAAAGTCGGTCCCAGCAGTTCTTCCTCTGATTTCATCCTCAAATGGTGTCCCCATTGAATTTGTTGATTCCTATAAATATTTGGGTATCTTGGTCGACTCACATCTCTCTTTTAAGCTTCATGTGGAAAACCTAAAGAAACTGAAAGTTAAACTGGGTTTCTTTTTCAGAAACAGATCCTGTCTAACTCTGAACGCTAGGAAACACCTTGTAACTGTAACTTTCCTTCCCTCCATTGATTACGGTGACATTATTTACATGAACGCTCCTACAAGCACCCTGCAGATGTTGGATGCTGTCTATCATGGTGCACTAAGATTCATAACTGGCTGTGATTATCGTAGAGGAAACTGTCCTCAGCTTGTTGAATTTTTTTATTAGTAATTTTATTCTGAAGGGGCACCATTGCTTCTTGTTCTGAAGCAAGAATTATTGAATCAGACTCGAGTTTTACCTTTTTAGTGAGTTCTTTACGTATTAAATTCAAATGTCATCTATAATAAAAACGCTTCGAGTCAAAGTACAGTTTTGTGAGGTTTATTATCGATTTTGGTGAATATAAGTGATCAAAACGATGAATATAGCTGAAGAATGAAATGATGGCTTTGACAACACAGGAGGTTATGGAGTTATCTTTTAAACTTTAATATGGTGAATTATGAGGTTACAAAGCAGAGTAAATGATCATCTATAAAGTTAGCTAAATGAAGTGTTTTGGCTAGATTTGATTTGTCAATTTAGGAGAACTTAATTCTAATTAATAATGATGAATTGTTTTAGACTGGACAACTTCTTATCTTGGGCATCAGACACAAGCAGAGAAAAAGGAGCAGCTTTTTCCTACCGATTGGAGGGTGGTCTGCAATTCAACCGCCCAGAGGGTAACCAGAACTCTTGAGATGAATTCTAGCGCCGAAGGTGGGATTTCCCTCGCCTCTGGAAATCAGCTGAAATCTAGAGTCGAACGTTGGCTCCCGAGGGGGGTCAGTTGATGAGCTCCTGGAGGGCTGCGTTTCCTTCTTCTGGTGGCAAAGATCTTCTGGCAATAAGTTTCCAATTGTTTGACCTTCTTCCTTCAAAACTTCTTCCAGACTGCTCTAAGCCAAATGTCAGAAATAAATTTCTTTGACTTAGAGGACGTTACAATATTGATGGTCGAGCCAATCATGACAGAAGGGTGGACCTTCGTTTCAAGTTACTGTTTGAACTTTAATAACCTTAATCAAAAATATTAAGTGGCTAATTTACTCTGCTTTGGTAAATTCTCAATATAACAGAATAATCAAAACTTCTAAGCAAGTTTTTACTCATCCATAAACATTTTCATTAGAACTTATGCACACACAGTTGTACCCTCTGATTACCAGTTTTACATGAAAACATTCACTTGTGTTAAGGAGAACTCAGAAGTGATCTCTACCATGGGATGGCAAAGAGTCCTTCAGAGCAACGGGGTCTTTCTCACACACTAAGACTTTAGGATGAATCCTCCCTTTTAGGAAGAGATAGGCGTACGTTTTAGATGTTATATTTCACAGGTCAGATGGAAAGGTTCTCATATAAAAGGGCCTTTCAGCTTTGCTGAAATCTTAATACCAGGTGTGCAACTAATTACAATAACAGATTTTTGTTATTCATCTTATATAACATGGTTCCTTACTGTCCAGCTTTGTGAATGAGAGTCAGTCACTTTCAAAGTATCAAAATAATAAAAGTTGATGGTAGAAAAACCTTGATGTGTCCCTACACTACCGTACCCACCACTGCACCCTGTATTCACTGGTTAACTGGTCACCATTAACTTCACGCAGACTCTCCCACTGGTACACTTTAATCTTTAAATCACTTCTTGGTCTGCTGCCTTCATACATCTCCTCCTACACGTCTCTGCGTGAGTGCAGCTACAGCGTGCGCTCTCAGGACATCATTACCTGCAGTGTTCCCTCAATGAGGACTGAACTAGGCAAAAGGACCTTCTCCTACTCCGCTCCTGTTTCCTGGAATATCTTACAAAAAGATCTGAAGCTCTCGACCTTGACCTCTCTAAGTGGCTTTAAGAATCTGTTGGACTCCTGGCAGGGACCAATGCAGACATGTTCCTGTTTTTAGTTTTCTACATTCGCTTTATAATCTAGCTGTTTTGTTACTTTTTTTGCCATCTTATTTGTAAAAAAAAATAAAAAAAAATTGTATGCCATTTTTTGTGTCTGTCCATTGTTGTCATCATTCTTTGTTGAAATCAGGTCTCTCTTGTAAATGAGTCCTCGAGGCTCAATGGGATTAACCTGTCTAAATAAAGGTTGAATGAATTTAGACAGGTAGTCTCACTGAGTCACGGGGACTCATTTTCAAGAGAGACCTGTTTTTAGGAGCAGATGGTGGCGGTTAAGGGCCTTGCTCAAGGGCCCAGAGTGAGGCAATTGAGGGTGGAGGAAGGTGTGGGTGTTTTTTCTTTTCAACCCACATTTTCATGTTGTCGGTCCAGGGAGTTGAACCGGCGACTTTCCGATCACAGGCCCACCTTCTCTAACCTCTGTGCCACCACTCCCACACATTTCATTAGAGAACAGTATACTATGTACTTTTACTCAGGTCATATACACATATCCCTGTGTATATGAGTACCTGTATGCAGGAAAAAGGTCTCAGATGTGTTTATGGAAGGGGGGGGGGGGGGTCAGTAACCTCGAAGTGTAGAAATAATTTCAGTCCGATTATTGTTTTCCTGTTTGAATAAATAAAAGCAGAAAATTGAATGCCTTCACTTTGCTGTGAGTGCCTCTCCTGCCAAGTCTGATGAAGAGGAGGAGGAGGAGGAGGAAGTTCCACTCCAGCAGCTCCAGGAAGAGTCTTCCTCTCAGTAACTTGGACATTCTAAGCAATTCACAAGATGGCTGACTGATAACATTTGTATAAAGTAAACTTTGAATAAAGTGCAATATACTTAATAAATTAGTTTTCTTGAGGTTTTTTTTTTTTTTTGCCTTCTTTATTTGAAAGGTTGCAGATGACCAAACATTTTTGATAGACAACCAGATTCTGTCAAGAGGTTCTCCGCTGGAACATTTCCTTATGTCAACCCTTGCTGAATGCAAACTTAAGCATAACTGTCTTCCTTCTTCAGCGGTCACCACACCAACAAACTCACATGAAGGATTTGGCAATTGTTTTACACCAGATGCCCTTCCTGACAGACTGGGCTTGAACCCGCAACCTTGGACCACAGCACTGTGACCACTAAGCTACCACACCCCCTCAAAGTTTGTCATAACACCAGTTCATTCATGTGGGCTTCAGTATCCAATCCAGTCAAAGTAACAGTTTACACATCTTGCCACAACTATTTATTTATTATTTATTTTTTGTTTTTTTGCAGTAATATTAAAAAGTAAATGTTCCTCTCAGCTGATTGGGCCTCTCACTAAACTGTTCCAGAGGCTGCTGGATTCTGGTTGTGTCCCTTGGCAATGGAGGGAATCCCACATTGTTCCAATCCCCAAAAAGACTCGTGCTAAGGACCTAAAGGATGACAGAGCTGTGACTTTGAGCAAACGTATGGAGAGTGGTGAGCGCCAAACTGGATCTGACAAACTGGATCCATTACAGTTTGCCTACAAACCAAGATGTGGTGTGGAGGGTCCAAGCCTCACACTTTAGGACATGGTTGCAAAATATCTTGACACTTTCCACCCTCACACTAGGATTTTGTTCATGGATTTATCATCTGCTTTTAACACCGTTAGTGTTAATAACCTGCTGCAACATCTGTTGAATCTTCAGCTTCATTTAAGTTTGAGTTTATGATTCACTGCTTTTTACTGGACAGACGACGGCAAGCGTTTTAAAAAGGTTTCAAACCAAACAAATTGATTTTAAATACGGGATGTGTTTTATCTCCTCTTCGCTTTTTATACAAATTCTGTTTCGTGCAGTAGTGAAGGAATGGCTCTTTTTTTAAATGTGCAGCCCGAACACCAGAACGTTTGTTTCAACCATGGATCATCCAGGGCCAGCAGGTAGAGCAGGGGGATGTGTTTAAGGACCTCAGCACGCAGATAGACACAAACATGTCTTCCTCACAGCAGGCTGACTCATTTGTGGGGCCGAGATGGGGCAGGCAGGGCAGCCAACTGGGGACCAGAAAGTGGCTGTTCGACTCCCAGCCATTCCCAAATGTTGAGGTGTCTCTGAGCAAGACACCTAATCCCTAATTGCTCCCCGAGTACTTGCATAGCAGCCCACTGCTCCACCTGGGTGTATCTCACGTGTGATGGGTTAAATGCAGAGAACTAATTTCACCGATGTATGGGAACATACGTTGATGACAATCTCAGACCCCCCCCCCCCCCCCCCCATAAGAAGGCTCAACAATCTGTACCTGCTGAAGAAACTAAAGACCTTTCATGTCAGCAGGAGCACACTGACCTTAATTTACAAGTCCCTGATAGGGTCCAAGGGCAGCACGGAAGTGTAAAGAGTAGAGGTGGTGGAGAAGTATAAATACTTTGGGGTTCACCTGGACAACAGACTGGACTGGAGATGCAACAGTGAAGCGTCTACAAGAAGGGACAGAGCAGACTGTACTTCTTGAGGAAGCTGAAGTCCTTCAGTGTTTGCAGCAAGATGCTGCATATCTTCTATAAGTGTTGTAGAGAGTGCTATCTCTTCTGCCATCTTCTGCTGGGGGAGCAGCACCAGAGCAAGTGACTTAAAAAAGATCAGCAAGCTCATAAAGAAGGCTGGCTCAGTTCTAGGGACTCCTCTAGAACCTTTGGAGGTGATTGTACAAAGAAGAATTCATAAAATGAAGAACATTATAGACAACCCTCAGCATCCTCTTCATCAGACTGTCATACAACAACAAAGTGTCTTCAGTCAGAGGCTTCTTCAGATCTGCTGCAAGACAGACCGCTACAAGAGATCCTTCCTGCCCACAGCCATCAGCATCTAGAACAACTCTTTAATGAAACAGAGACGATGAGTTATAACAACATTTAATTTCACTCTGGGATTAATAAAGTATTTTTGAATTGAATTATACACAACATCCAGAGGCAAATCAAGGCAAATCTCATCCACCCCCGTAGCCAAAGTAGCAAGCGAGTTTTGGATGGAAAAATGTGGACTGAATGCAAGATGGACTACCTCAAACCCAAGTCTGCCTCTCTTTACAAAACCACAACCTGAATGTGATGGAAGGGCACTGCTTTGCTAGAGCAAAGATTGAGAAGTTGCATTCCAAATTCTTGAAGGAGAAGGATGTGCAGTGGAGTGACCGTTTCAAAGAGGCAATGGGGACGTCATTAGTTGATGGAAGAAATACTGGTGAGATTACTCTTTTTAATTAGTAAGCTCTGTGATTGCATGGATGCTCATTTTCCAGAGGGTGAATTAAAGGAGTGGTCTGCTTTTGACACTGAAGCATTGAGCTCAGACATTAAACAGTAAACAGCCATCAGTGTGCTAATGATCCATTGTTAGGCTGATGGTCCTTCTTGAGCATGTGATCAGCTGGTTTTGGTTGTCAGCAGCAAAACTGGTTGATCCACTCTGAGACGGTGCTATTTAAGAGACTGAGCTGAATACAGCACCTCAGACTGAGGAAGTCTCTCGGATGAGAGACGAAACGTTTCTACATTTTTTTGTTGTTTTGCTTTTTTTTTTTTTTTTTTTTTTGAATGTCCAGAGGACCAGATTTAACTTTTTTAGATTTTTCTACCTGGATTATTGAGCATGCATCAGAGGATTTAGTTTAATGAATCATATCAAAACAGCATCCAGAAATCGTCTTGAAGTGACACATTTGAACCAGCTGATGCGCATTAAGTCGAAGCAAGAAGTGGACAGATCCATGAACCTGGACAAAAGTGTACAACCATTGGAGAAGTGAGAAGGACAGACGTAAATAATAAGGTAACATTTAAATCAGATTTGTGCATATTCTAGTGACATTTATTAAGGTTTTTTTTTTTTTGCATATTAATCATTAAATGCTGTTACTACTAGATAATTTATGGGTAGTAGAAGTAATAAAAACCTGTGCAATTAGATATTTTACAGACAAAGAGTTACAGGAATTTACACTGTATCACAAGCTACAGCACACGTCATTGTGCAAAATGTGAATGCTTTAATGCGAACAAAATGATATGTCTGAAAGGTGTAAATGTTTCATTTCTTCCAGAGCAGGACCCTCGCCCAGACCACAACTGGACCCTCACCCAGACCAAAGCAGGACTCTCATATATGACATACTACACATCTCATTAACAACAAGATTTTTGACACCTCCACCTACAAGAAGAAGGCCTCCTGCATCATGAAGGACCCCACTCATCCAGCACATACACTTTTTGCCCCACTCCCCTCAGGCAGAAGGGTGTGGAGCTATAGAACAACAAGACTGAGGAACAGCTTCTACCCTGAAGCTGTTAGATTTATAAATCCTTAACCAGGACAATCACTGTAAGGAAAAAAGAAAATCACTGTAATGCCACTTTAACTGGTGATATGTGACATCTGTGCTGCCGATTATCCATGCTGCTGATCTCATGCTGCTGTATTCATTCATACCCATCTACTCACTACAAACTCATGTTCAGGCTGCTGTTTAATGTACCATATTATTTTACATTATTAGTGTTTAGCATATATCTTAGATCTTTTAACGTATTGTTTAGTGTTCGTTTAGCGTATATCTTATCTTAGATCCTTATTTACTGTTTTTTTTTTAATACTTTACATTTTTTCTATTTTTGGGTGTAAGTGGGACCTGAGTACATAATTTTGTTCCACCTCATTTACCACATGTGATGCAATTGCAAATGACAATACTTCAAATTGAATTTTGTCTTTTTAAGTTTAAATGGGCCAAATCACTTATTAAAAGTATAATGGAAATTGCTGCTGTAATTTGATTATTTTAATACGCTTATATGATCACAGGGTTTGAACAGGTGTGATACTGGTGTGTGGCCACAGCTTGCACATCTGTTGCTCTCAGTGGTCCTCAGTGTGCTCAGGGAGCTTGTGTGTTTGCTGACACATGAAAAATTAGAAGGAACATTGCACACGGCTGAGTTTGGGTTTGGGGGTTCTGTCCTTGGGATGGACCAGCATCTGTCTGAGGATCCTGTTGGGTTTAAAATGTACCGGGATGTTGCGTTTGGAGAAAATCCCTGTTTCTCAGGTACTCCAGCAGCAAATGGGGTGACAATGTTTTTGTTTGTTCTTACTCCAGTTCACGCCACAGAACATTTTTCCAGGTATTTTCAGTGTGATCTGGGGTTGTCCATTGCTAATTAAATTTTCTTTATTATAAAGCGTTTAATAACTCTTGTTATAACTGTGTTGTTAAAAAAAAATTTATAGGAAAAAAACAACTTTCGTTTACCGTCTACTTAAATGGAAACAACTTCCTCAAAAGTGTTAAAAAAAGAAGTTTCATTTCCTTAAGTTTCCCTTTTAGTTAATCTCTCTCTCCTTGTCTGTGGCCTATGGGTGGCCAGGAAGCACTCCTCTGCTCATAGGTGGCCTATCCTGTCAATCACATCTCTTACCCAATGAGAGGATGGAAACAACGATAAAGAGGCGGAGCTTAACGCAAGACCAGACAAGTAAAACAACGCAGTTTTATCAGCGCGAGTCTTTCTCTGTAACTGCCCGACATAACTGACTGGCACGAAGCTAACAATTGACAAAACATTCTCGGCGTTTACTGTATCAGAAGGTAATTTTATCTCGTCGTTTTGGGTGTATTTTAAAGAAGCAGAAACGAATAGCTTGTTTCTAAGTGAGCTATATGTATTTATTTTATATTTTACAATTTTTTACCCGTTAACTTCTCGAAACATTTGTCTTCTTAACTGTGCGTGTACTCACTTTGTGTTGTGCGTTTTAAACCGCATGTTTTGGACTGAACAGAAGCAGTGAGGTGGTTTCGTGTCTTCAGAAGCCTGTAGTTCAAACGTCATCATGGCTGTGGATGGATGTGGACTCGTTTGCAAATACATCCTCATCATTTTCAACATTATCTTTGCGGTGAGTCCAGTACATTCATGTGCAGACAGTTCTTGTGACAAGGAAAAGCTTTGACTGTAACTGTTAAGATCTTGTGGAAAAAATGGTTTGTTTTAACCCTTGTTTTGAGACAGTAAATTACTATTATCTGTGTCTGAAAGTACAAAAAGCCACAGATTTTGTTGTGCTTTACCTTGACTTTCTGTGGATGGGACATGTTGTAAACACACTGTTTTTGTTCCCTTGCAGCTGCTGGGGTTTGCATTTCTGTGCCTTGGCTTGTGGTTCAGGTTCAGCGGAAACACCAGAGCCTTGTTCAGCATTGGAGAACTCAACTCGAGCGCTTTTGTTATCGGTTAGTACAAAAACTGCTCGTGCAGTTTCTCCCCCGCACTCCAAAAAATCACAGCAGCGTTCCCAGCTGCTCTAGAAACCCAGAGAAAACTCGGAGAAATTGAGAAAAAAAGCGTCAAAACTAAAAGGAAAACGCTGATCTGCTGATTAGAAGATGATCTTTCTGAGATTTTGACGTGCACATATAATAATGTTAGTATCCTAGTATCACTGAGTTCCTGTTCTGCTTCTACAGTGTGACATGATCTGCTTGTAATGTCGAACCCATGCGCAGGCAAAGGCAGGAGAATTCAGGAGTAATAATAATAATGATTTATTTTACAAAAACAGAAAGTGCTGACGGGGCAGCGAGGACTTCCGTTAGAAGGGAGAAGACAGGCGGAGCAGTTACAGACCATGGAAGGTGCTCGGATCCCAGAGGAGTGAAAACGCACAGACTAAATGCAGACCGTTGATGAGACAAAATGGGGAAACACCTGGAGTGATTAGGATTCAAATCAGGTGTGCATAGGAACAGAAATGCAAGGAAGAGAAAAAACAGGGAGGTGCAGAAAAACACAGGACAGGCAAACACGTCTCACACTCACTATGTTTACATGCGCACATTTTTTTGACCGGATTGAAATGTTTTCAGATTAAATAATTCAAATGTATCGTTTACACGGGCACAATCTGTTCATGACGAGCGTTTACATGCAGCGGGCTTTGTTCTGAACACAAGTACTGACGTGCAGAGTGGTAAACTCTCCTTAAAAAAAAAAACCCAGAAGAAGAAGTTCCACTTCCTGTTTACTTCTGGGATGAACGTAAACAAACCTGAGCACCCAAAATGGACCTGCGACAGGTTTTAATGATGGTGGAGATGTTGCTGCACTCCCTGACTGAGCTACAGGTGATACAGATCATTTTGAGCTCTTTCGAAGTTTCTAGTAGAAATGTGTCGCTCACCGACCAGTTTTGCTTCCCTGACATGCTAATGTTATTAGCATTAGCCAGGCGGAAATGACAGGTCGCACATGCGCAGTCAGGTCAGTTTTTCACGTTCTGGGAAAAAAAAGAACAGATTGAGCGTTGACATGCGCACCGTTGAAAGAGCCCAAAATGATCTGTATCACCTGTAGCTCAGTCAGGGAGTGCAGCAACGTCTCCACCGTCATTAAAACCTGTCGCGGGTCCATTTTGGGTGCTCAGGTTTGTTTACGTTCATCCCGGAAGTAGAACTTCTTCTGTGTTTGTTTTTTTTATTTATTTTTTTAGGAGAGTTTACCACTGCACATGTCAGTACTTGTGTTCAGAACAAAGCCCGCTGCATGTAAACGATACATTTGAATTATTTAATCTGAAAACATTTCAATCCAGTTAAAGAAGTTTGCTCATGGAAACATAGCTAATGTGCCAATTTGTAACCCCGTTCAAACCTCAACGTTTAAGCGTTACACGACTCACTACAACAACCTTTGCCTGCCACCTAAGCCGCTAAGTTCTGAGTGTTTTGTGTGACGACAATTTCTCCTGGAGGTTCAGGAGAAACTCTGGGAATTTTGTTTTTATGAAATGCTGTGAACCCTGGTTTGTTTCTGCTGTTTAATAACGGCTGCTCTTGATTTCTCCCTCATCAGGAGTGACTGTGCTGATAGTTCTCGGTGTAATCATGCTGATCGTGGTGTCGTTCGGAGACTACGGTGCCTGCAACGAGAAAAAATGTGCCCTGCAAGTGGTGAGACGACCCTGCTTTCCTTTTTTTTTTTTCCAGCAGAAGCACAAGACGCTTGTGTTAAAAAACAACTGCAAACACATTGAATAGAAAATCATTTTTATCAGCAAGAACAAACGATTGTGCATGTTTTTATTTTACACTTGTTGGTCTATCGTTATATAGGAGTTATTCAGAAGGAGTCAGTCATTGAAGCTAAAGCAGCTTAAAAGTGAAACATGAAAAGTCGTTATTTTTCTTTCAGTTGCTCCTTTCTGCAGGAAAGTGAGCAAACTTGTACAAAATATTTACTGAATGTTTTACACCGGGTGACCTTCCTGATGCAACCTGGGCTCAAACATTTCAGCCTCAGGATTACAAAACCGCGACTTACCGCAGTCCCCTGAAAGTGAAACTTAAAAGTACAAACCCTAATTGGAAAAAGTTTAGGCGTTGCATAAAATGTAAATTTAAAAAAATAACGTACTGATTTGCAGTTCTCACAAGTTTATACTTTATTTTACAATAGTAGGCAATCCTTCTACAGAATATAAACTCAAATTAACATTTAAACAAGTTTCTTCTTGATAAATATTTCAAGTCTTTGTGCACAGGTAAACCTGTACCATCCACAAATGCTGGTTAAACTCTCATGAAAAGAAGAAGCCACATGTGAACATACAGAAACACCATACTCTTCCCTGGACCAAAGCTCATTTAAACAACTCATTGCATTTTGTTTTTGTTCTTTTTTTTTTAGTGTTTCTGGTGTCAAGCATAATTGTTAACACTAGCACTCAGCTGGTTAAAAAGTTTAGGTCTTCTACACTTTATTGTCCCCCATCGTGGAGTAAAGAAGGGAATTGGAAATGCCCCCCAGTCTGTTTGTTTGTGCATGTTGTGGGCATGACAACTTGAAAAATAAGTGAGGCATCGACTTCCATTTTGGTGTGTGGCTACATGTAGGCATAAAAATTCCTTTTGAAAATTGGGTTGCCAGGTCAAAATCCCAGATGGCCATCACCATATGTAAACTTGACCATCACTATCATTTGAGAAAACTGCTTTCTAGGTTTTAAAAGTATAGGTTCCTCAAATTATTGGAGTGGCCAAAGATTAATTTATGGTGGCCATGGCCACCCTCTGGTTCCACCATAGCACCTTGTCATGGATAAATTTGCTCCCCCTTAGGACTGGGTGATATCTAGGCCTGTCACAGTAACATATTTTGCTGGGCGATTAATTGTCTAAAAAATTATTGCGATAAACGATAATATTGTTTGTAATTTAACAATAATTAATTGTCAGATTTTAGAAGAAATGTTGATTTGTTTGGAGTGTAGTATCTTTTTTGACCACCTGATGGTAGTATAAGACTGTGTGAACCAAAGGGTGGATAGATGAAAAGTGTGTCTCTTTAAGAGAAATGGGAGGGAGGGCACAGCCTTGAGTGACATGGGCTGACATGGTAAATGGACTGTACTTATGCAGTGCCTTTCTAGCTTATTTCAAGAAACTCAAAGTGCTTTACACAACAACCTGTGTCCTCATTTATCCATCCACACAGCACTGTACTAGATCTCTACAAAGCTAATTGAACAAATCATTCTAAAGAGACTAATCAGTGCTTTATCACATTCATACACTGATGGGACACGCATCAGAGGCTATGAGGGGTTCAGTGTCTTGCCCAGGGACACTTCGACATGTGACTGCTGGTGGATTCGAACCCCCCAACTCTTGCACTGGAGGACGACTGCTCTAGCCACTCAGCCACAGCGACCCCATGGTGATATGACGTACGCTCGGTGATTTGAGCTCTTTAGTAGGGCTGGGCCATATCATATCGTTCACGATAATACCGGTAAAAAAAAGCTTGCCCTGGCAAAAAAATGATATTATGATATGCTAATTTCGTGACGTAATATGTCAGGGTGCCCCGCCCCATTAACAGAACCGAGGACGCCGAACAACAGCACCGAACTGCACCCCCTCCCCCCCCCCAACCAGTCGGTACTGGTGTAACGCTAATTAGCTGCGCGCAATACTAGCTAGCTAAAAAGATAAAAACAAACGACGTGTGGTTCAGCTGTGTCTCTCCATCCAGCTCTAAACTGCAGGTACAGACAACTCAACAGTCTCTCCCTCCCCCCGCTCTAAGCTTTTTTGTTTGTTTTTGTTATATCACAAAATTTAGCGTTATCGCCAGGATGCTCTGAAATATCACAATATTATATTTGAGCCAAATCGCCCACCCCTACTCTTTAGCATAGCATTTGTCACACAAAGCTTT